AGATTTAAATGGGTTCCAGTGTGTTGGGGGATGGGAGAGAGACTTGTGGCGTTTAGGAATGTGGAATTCTTGCAGCAGATTTAAATGGGTTCCAGAAATGCCTGGGTCCACGTTGACTTCAGAGCAACTGTTTGCTGCATTCATGTTTAAAGTGGAATCAGATCCTGCTTAGGGGACAAGCTAGTTGTCTTGCAGGAAGGCAGACTTACTTGTCTAAAAGAAGCAGATAGATTTGAATGCTGAATCTTTTACCACTCATCAACTAATGCAACTTAGAGAAATAGCTGTACTCTACTGCCTTCAACTTCGTTATCTGTAAAATGGCGATAATATTATCTATTTTGTGTGGTCGTTTAAAGATTGTAGTTGTGTGTGCAGAGTTAGATTCTAAGATACTCCTTCAAAAAGCACGGTTACTTATTTAGGAGTATACATTTAAGTGTCTGCAGACAGCAAATGATTAACAATCCTAGCTTGCTTAGTAGTTGAGAATGCCCTCTAAGGTCATTCTACCTGAGTTCCAGAGTTCCTTTTGGAAACCAACCTTGTTCAGCCATCCACAGCTGTGAAATGATAATGTGTTTCATAGATTTGTGGGAATCAAAAGGAGCCTCCTGTGTAGAACCCTCAGTGCTGTGCCTACCGCAGAGTAGAACTCAATACATTTTTATTTTATTTTATTTTATTTTATTTTATTTTATTTTATTTTATTTTATTTTATTTTATTTTATTTTTGCTGTTACTGCTACACAAGAGTCCAACTGTGAGGCTGAGCATCTGGCCTCTCTGGGATAAACTTACCTCATTTAATTTTTAAATGGAAGGATGGAAGAAAGTGTCTTCCTCTTAACAGCTGTGTTTCTAAGGGTATCCACATTCCAGTCTATCACCCCCACATTTTCTTTGGAAAGGGCATAAACAAAAAGTCAAAATGCTTTATGACGGAGAAATGATATACAAGATGCTTATAATGCATGTGTTGGACTTAAAATGACCACCTGTTCATAAAGCCTGATGTGTATTTCATGTACTCCATGTACAATTTTGTTGCCTCACAGCCCCAGAGATTTCCATAGGTTTGGAGACTTGGAGATTTGCATCCAAGCACTCAGTTCACACAGGCTGCCTGAGTAGCATTTGTTAGCATGCCTAGTTTCTGTATTTTTTTTTTTAAAGAAGGAGCCTTAACCTGTGGCTCTGCATTCTGATGGTAGTTAATTTGCATCTGGCATAGCAGCTGAGCAGCTGGCAACCTGTTTGTGAACCAGCCCTGAGTCTCTCCTCACCCTGCCCCTGGGGTGAGAGAGCAGACTTGCTGGGCGGGAGAGAGGATTTTCCTCAGACTTGGGGAGCTTGTCTGACAGTATGGCTTCTCTTCTCTCTACACCAGCTCTTAACAAATCACTTCCCCCAGCCCCTTGAAAGGGTATATAGATGCCCTAAGCCAAGCACTCTTTGTAAGGAAGCACAGTTAGCCACAGGTGTTCAGCATTGACCTGACAGACCACCATGGGGGCGGGGACTGTGTCGTCTCATGCTTGATGCTTCAAAGGAGTGGAGCTTACCACCATGGAAGCATTGTAATTCTCACTGGCAAAACTATGATTGTTCCAAGTTTGTTTGTTTGCTTGCTTGCTTTTTCTTAAATTATCCAAAGCTGTTGTTTGTTTTAAATATATAGGGTACGGGGGAGGAGTAAAATTGGTGTTTGTAAGCATACTTTTTAAAATACTAGGAATATGACACATTAAAGTAGTTCAGCCTTTGAACAGGTTAGTGTGAGTAGGACTTCCCTGTCCAGGTTGGCCACATAACCTGATACCAAGCAAATTCCTTTCAAACGCTTTAGTGACCCGTCGCACTGTTCTCAAAGTCTGGGTCGGTTTGCAACCTTTCTGTCTTTATATTCTCACTATTACAACTCATCTGTAGCAGGTCCTTTAATCCGAAGTGATGACATTTCCTTAAGGATACCCACGCCCCTCCCCTCCCAATCTCATTCCTCACTCATGCTCCTAAGTTTGTGTGGACCGAGTTCCTCCGGATGTATTGGTGGACCTCCTCAAAAGGCAACCTTGGCAACATTTCCAGCATCTTCCATGTCTTCAACAATGCACTGTCAGCATTCCAATCATCAGCTGTATCTCCAGCAGTTCATTATCTTGTATGAATTTCACATGCACACAGTGTAACTTTTTGTCTTCTTCAGTACAATTTCTCTTTGAAATAGGTTTTTTTTTTTTAATGTCATTTTGGAGACAAAGAAAACATGTGATTTTCTTTGTATGAACCAAATAATGGGTGTAGCAGGAGTCTTAAATGGTCTTATTAATAAAATCAAACCCAGAGCCAGGTATTGGGGTGAATGCTAGAAGATCAGAGAAGCAGAACAAGCCACAGCTACCTCACCTCCCCAGTTCCTCAGCTGATCCTGTTTCCTCAGACTGGAAGCCTCTGAGTCCTCATCCAGAATGAATCTCAGCTGAACTGCTTCTCAAAAGCCTGAAAGCTTAACCAGCCAAATGCTTCTAGTTTCTGGTCTTCACGCCTTATATACCTTTCTGCTTTCTGCCATCACTGCCTGGGATTAAAGGTGTGTGTCACCATGCCTAGACGTTTCCAATGTGGCCTTGAACTTACAAAGATACAGATGAACTTCTGCCTCTGGAATGCTAGAATTAAAGGTGTGTGTGCCACCATTTTCTAGCCTCTGTATCTAGTGGCTCTGACCCCAGATAAGTTTATTAGGGTGCACAATATTTTGGGGAACACAATACCACCACAAATGGGTGCTTGGTAACCAATAACCTGGGAGCAATTGGCTGATAAGTCAGTGATCATGATACACATGTGGTTTTAGGTAGTAATTGATGACCCAAAGCATTAGGATCAAGGTTTTGCTTTATGTGGTCACTCACAGGTAATATACTTTTGTAGCTGAAGTTTGAATAGTATTGTGGGGGGAACTGGTATTAAACGCTGACTTGGGAAATCCATGAATATTGGAGGCTTGTAAACTTAAAAGTGTCTGCAAATGTTAAGCAATGAGTAGCCAAGAGTGGGTGAACGTTTACACACGTTAATCTGAGGTTTACAGGCCCTGTGCCTTATAGCTTAGCCCACTGTTGTCTCCCTGGCTTTCTGCCTTGATGAGGCCTCTGGAATACTTGATAAAAGCATCTTTTTTGAAGTTCACCTTGGAACAAGTTATTGAACTCTAAGACTCCTGATTCATATGCTGAAGGCCCAGGCCCAGCTGCTGTCTTCGTTATCTTAGCTGACCCTTGTTCAGTGCTCAGCTCTCCACATCTAAAAGCATTTAATCTGAGTGATCTCACAGAGGTGCTCCAGCAGGCACCCAGTTTGGACCAGTTTCCTTCACTAGGAGTGGGGTATATGGCACTGGCAGAGGAGGCTGCTTGAATACTACTTTTAC